GCAGGTATATGCGTAAATATGCAAGGGAGTAATTATGGTGATGCAAATACACATATAAATAAATAATTATCTTGCAAATAATTATCCTGAAAAAAATTAAATTTAGGAAAATCCTTCAACCTGTTTTCTAGCCCGCTTCGACTATTTTATTAATTCTATTTTATTAATTTAACTTGTTAAATGCCCAATTAAAAAATAAGTTTTTATTTATTCCAGATTTCAAATATGTGGTAAAATTTTAAATTAGTGAAACTTATTTAAAAAATAAAATTATTCATTATATGGCGGCACACAGCTCAAGATAACCTCCTTAACAGCGCCATCCACATGCGCCAAGAAATCGGCAAACTTGTCCCGGATCACATTCGTACGTCGGATCTTGTCCAGTACACTTTCTTGCAGTACAGATACATGCAATCCCAGCGTCCGGATCTATTTCAAAGTTGGATAACGTCATGCCAGTGACAAGGGTAGCAAATAGCAATAACACGAAACGTTTTAGCATTCTGAAAATGTAGAAATAGTAAAAATTTGAATTATATTTGGGTTTTAAATTTGCCCAAATTTATTTAATAATTTCCAAATATTTAATTAAGAGTGGAAACGCTATCTTGGAAAAAATATTTTACACTTGTAAATTAATTTAAAAAATAATACCTGAATTCTTAGCTCGTTTTCTGTGGAAAGATTTTACCAAAAAAAATTTATATAGTGTAAATTGAAATGTTAATCAGATTTCGCCAATGGTGAAAATGACATTAATTAATTGCCAAATCGTGATCGATTTTATATACGTGTCCCAAGTTCGTTTCTAATCCAGAAATATGCGCATCTGTACACGTGAAGACAATATTTTTTCTATATTTGGATCTTGTACATTTGTAAATGTGCAGTATTACATAAGTATGTAAGAGATGTGGTGCACAGGGTTTCGTTTTTGCCGTCCGAAACTCTTTTTGCCTGGCCACAAGGCCAAAAGCGGGTAAAAGTGGGAAAAATGGCCAAAAGCGGGAAAAACGGCCAAAAGTGGCTGAAAGTGGGAAATCTGCCCAAATTGGCCATAGAACGGAGTTGCGGTAAATCTTATTTCTATCGAAAGTTGAGATTAGTGGATATGGTGCGGAGGTTGTGCGGCGTCTTTTGTCGTTTGTGCGGCGTCTTTTGTAAGTGTCTTTTGGCCACTTTTGCCCGCCGTCCTGGCCAATTTAGTTTTGGCCACTCGAAACCCTGGTGGTACATGTTCAATAAACAATTTTATTTTATTTTATTTATTTTATTTTATCCTGCCACTAAAGTTTTGAAGGCTACAGGCCACCCCCACTCCCATGAAGTTCACCCCCACTTCCCCCCCAATAGGCCCTGCTGGGCAGTGTTTGTGAAGTTTAGGGTGTTTGACCGTCCTCTTGTGACCTTTCGGCGTTGGCGAATCTTGCGTTTCAAGGTGGGCTACCACCCCCCTACCAATCACGAGTGGACTCTTCCATACTATTTTACGTTTACAACTTTTACTACTTACTCTCAGTGCCGACTCACAGTGCCGGCTCATAGGGCCGAGGGCGCTTCTTCTGAAACCGGTTTTAGGGCGTAACCGACCACCCCCACTCCAAAAACGTGAATGTCTTGTGTGCCTAAGCTATGCTAGTTCCCGAAAACATAGCCAGCGTTTTTGTGAAATGTGTATGTTCCAAGGAAATGGTGTCGGAGTGAAGGGAAACGAATAAGCATACCTGTATTAGTGGAGTCTTGTGCGAGTGCCCCCCACTTTCTCAGTTTCAAATATTTTTCGGTTTGCAAAACAGTCTCACACCCATTATATGATCTAGTTGTGGGAATAAGGTCATTTGTCAATGGGAAAAGTGATATGTCTAGTGAAATACTGTCAAATCGCGTGTAAAATTGAGCGTGTTAACAGGTGCAGCGGATCTGGGTGTATTCAAATCGCATTTATTTGCTCAATTCTTAGTATTTTCCGAAAACGAAAGCTCTTATCCAGAATCTCCACCTAGATGTGAAACATCGGCCGCTATTGTTGTGAAATATTTATCTATTCATGAAATGCTGTCAAAATGGCCAATTTTGGGATGAAGTTAGTCTTGCTGGAACCTTCGCGATTTTTATTACCCACGACTCAGATCGTGTAGGGGTGTGGTCCCTGCACCCCCAGGATCAGCACGGAGTATGAGTGACTGATTTCTGTTGGGGTTGACCTCACTCGTGCACTCTTAGTGATTAATACAGGCGAGAAAATCCATTTTATAGATTTTTAGCGGTCTTGAAAAAGGATCTTTATCTGAACTAATCCCTTTAATCTTTCTCTGAGTGAGCCCAATTGGACTCTCTGCGCGCTCTGAGCCAAGTACAGGTCACAATGTCGACACAAGACGACACCCTAGGAGATCCGCCAGATATCCTACCAGCGGGAGACTCTGCTGCTACATCCCAGACTCGAGGAAGGCCCCGATGATCTATTGTTGACAGAATTTCTACTGCCCTCGGCTACGGCGACGCACCCTCTACAAGCTCATGTGTCCCATCAGTGCCCCCAGTTATCCCCGACAATACTGCCATGAGTACGTCTGTTCTAACCGTACCAGGCCAACGGCGTCGAAACTCAGTTTCTCCGTCATCCCTCAATATTACTAAGAAAGACACATTCGCTTCTGCCCGTCGGTGGATCCAGCAATCCTTTGTCATCGACCCCACCGCAAGAATTAGGAAGGGGGACGTTTTTATCCGCTATGCCCTGTTTGTCGATCAGTCGGGGGAGGGTGGCGTCGCTGAGACCACCCTCGGCAAATACATCAAGGAATTGTTCCCCAATGTTGCTAGTCGTCGAACTACCGGGGCGGACGCCCACACCTTCTTTGAGGGCATCCAGTGGGCAGATGCACCTCCTCCCGATGATCCCCAACAACAGCAACAACACGACTGGGGGGAAATTCTCTCTCGTCTGAAAACGTCCACCCCTACACTTACAAGGGAACCTTAAGTACTGTCACCTCTCGATTTCCTTCGGAATAACCTTAATCAACAGATAATTTAGTGAAACTAAAACTTTGTCATAGAACATGCGGTGCAAAATCGCGTTTTCGCGAAATATTTGGCGAGAGCTGCACCAAAACCTGCCATTTTCCCAATGCTTTTAACATAGCCACCAGCCTTTCGAATGATGAAATGAACTTTATAGAATCTTAATAAATTATATTTGTACCTGTCCGCGTAATTTCAGCCGATCACTAATATGCACAAAATGATGCAAAGATTCGCAAATTTTTGCAAATTGCGAAAATCTGAAAACTTTCGTAAATTTTGAATTTCTTCGTTTTTTTAAATTCAACAAATTTATCAGCTTAACTGATATAAAATATATTTTTCTTATTGCAAAAAATTTGCAAAAATTTGCAAAAACTGAAATTCGCAATTTGCATGAAAATAAGTTAAATAACCAATGCTAGTCTATTTTTACGCATTTTTCTAAATTATTTGCGGTATTTATTGTTGCAAGTTGCAAAAACTTAAAGTGTGTGCAATTTTTTAATTCAATATGTAGAATTTTTTGCAATGCTTGCATATTTTAATTGTTCAACGAATTGGTTTTTCCTTTATTCGCTCATACCTACATATATGAAAATTTTTGAGTTTCTAGAAAAAGCAAAATTTAAAAATTCTAAGCTTCAATTTTTGCAAATTTTTTGCAATAAGAAAAATATATTTTATATCAGTTAAGCTGATAAATTTGTTGAATTTAAAAAAACGAAGAAATTCAAAATTTGCGAAAGTTTTCAGATTTTCGCAATTTGCAAAAAATTTGCGAATCTTTGCATCATTTTGTGCATATTAGTGATCGGCTGAAATTACGCAGATAGGTACAAATATAATTTATTAAGATTCTATAAAATTCATTTCATCATTCGAAAGGCTGGTGGCTATGTTAAAAGCATTGGGAAAATGGCAGGTTTTGGTGCAGCTCTCGCCAAATATTTCGCGAAAACGCGATTTTGCACCGCATATTCTATGACAAAGTTTTAGTTTCACTAAATTATCTGTCGATTAAGGCTATTCCGAAGGAAATCGAGAGGTGACAGTACTTAAGGTTCCCTTTGTTAGAAGGGTGCCAAGGGGCGCACGAATGGCTGTCGCACAGTCCCTTACCCAAATCCTCAAGGAAGTCAATTCTGGAGAAAATGAAGAAAGCTGGAGAAAGCTTCTTCTCTTCACATACGCTGTTCTCCCTGTTCCCCAGAAGTCTGACCAGGTCAAGAATTTGACGACTTGGGTTAAGTCACGAACCTCTGCCTGGGAGGAGAATTTCGCAACCCCACAACCACTTCCACCTCGTCCACCTAACAAGAAACCCCCTGGCAACGACACGTCGAAGAAAATTGAGGCGAAACTTGCCGACGGGGATGTCAGAGGGGCCATCCGTCTCGCCTGTTCCGAAGATACAATAGCGCCCAACGACGAGGGCACACTCTCCGCCCTCCTTATCAAGCATCCACCTCATCCACAACCGACAGATTTCCCTCAGGCACCCGAAGACACCTTAACTTTACCAGTTGTTGCTTTGGAAGCGGGCAAAGCGATCTCTACTTTTCCGCCAGGGTCAGCCAGGGAGGACTGGACGGATTACGACCTCAGATCTTGAAAGATTTGGTGGGGTGCAACCAGGGGGAAGCAGGTGAGGATCTCGTCAAGGCTATCACTGCTTTCCTCAACCTAATTATGAAGGGTGGAGTCCCACAAGAATTTTGACATGTGTTCTACGGGGCATGTCTTACTGCGCTAAAGAAGAAGACTGGTGGAATCAGACCGATTGCTGTGGGGAACACATGGCGTCGTCTCGCCGCCAAAGTAATTGTGGCAAGGATCACCCCGCAACTTGTCCAACACTTTTCCCCTCATCAGTTAGGAGTAGGAATTAGGGAGGGGCGGAAGTTGGTGCACACACCGCTCGGGTTTATTGGAATCACCCCCACATATCCCCTAAAGCGTTCTTAAAAATGGACTTCAGGAACGCCTTCAACGAAGTGAGACGAGACACACTTCTCCACGCCGTTAAGGAACATTTGCCATCTATTTTCCCATTTATCTCCCAGTGCTACGCGTCATCATCAAGTCTTTTCTACGGGACCATCCCCATCCCTTCTCTCCTGGGTTGTCAACAGGGAGACCCCTTAGGCCCCGCCCTGTTCTCCCTTATAATTCAGCCAATCGTCGCCGCGATGGAGACAGAGCTCAATATATGGTACCTCGACGATGGCACTGTTGCAGACTCGCCTGCGAAAGTCCTTGCTTCCCTTGCAACGGTTTCAAGAATGGGGGAGGAAGTGGGGCTTCATTTGAACCATGAAAAATGCGAGTTAGGAATCCTGGGGGCCGATGTGGACACGACCATCTCAATACTACAACAATTTCGAGAAGTGGCCCCCGGGATTCAGCTGATGTCCTTGGAGAGTGCGACACTCCTTGGCGCACCCATCACGGATCAAGCCATCGGCGCTATCTTGACCAACAAGACTGAACAGTTAGCCAAGCTATCCCAACGGCTACGGCAACTTTCGTCCCACTCCGGTTTCTACCTCCTCCGAGCGTCCATATCCATACCACGACTTATCTACTTTCTCCGCTGTGCTCCCACATGGAGAAACTTCAATGCCCTCACCCACTACGACACGACGCTTAGGGACGTTTTAGAGGGAATTTTGAACTGCTCACTCTCTGAGGATGCTTGGATGCAGTCCTCTCTACCCGTGAAAGAAGGTGGCCTTGGGGTTAGGCACTCTGTAGACGTGGCGATACCGTGTTTTCTCGCGTCCGTCTACAGGGTCCTGCCCCTCATGGATCGTCTTCTTCCAGAGGATATGCGTGGCACTGATGTCGCCATCACAGAAGGAGAAGAACGCTGGTCAACCTTTGGACCACCTGAACCCCCCCCCAGAAACAATAAGAAGCATGCAGGCCGCATGGGAGCGCCCAATTCTAGACGTCACCATATCTCACCTCGTAATCAGTGCACCCACGCCAGAGGATACTGCTCGACTTCGTGCCCTCCGTGACCCGTACGCCGGCGCATGGCTTAATGCCCTACCCTCCCCCCAGCTTGGTACACACCTCCCTAACGAATCGTTCCGTGTCGCCATTGCCCTGCGCCTTGGATGTGATATTTGCCAACCCCACAAGTGCCCATGTGGGGCGCAAGTCACCGCGCGAGGCTACCATGGTCTTTCCTGCCGCCGGAGTGCAGGTCGCTGGTCGCGCCACTCTCCACGCCACGCCCGGGCTCTCCGCTCAGCCGAAGTCCCGTGCATCACTGAACCACCCGGTTGTTCACGCCAAGACGGGAAGCGACCGGACGGGATGACTTTTGTCCCCTGGTCTCGAGGCAAATCCCTTGTATGGGACTACACCTGCGTGGACACGTATGCCCCCAGTCACCTTTCTGACACAATTCGCCACCAGGGCGCTGCAGCCAGCAAGGCAGAAGAGCGGAAGAAGATGCATTATGCTTTTCTCCTCGACAGATTCCTCTTTGTTCCTATTGCGATGGAGACAACGGGTGTGTGGGGGCAAGAGGGACTGTCCTTCATAAAGGAAATTGGGCAAAGAATTGTGGCTCGAACCGGTCAGCCGAATGCCGGCACATTTTTACGTCAACGTCTCTCTCTCGCCACTCAGCGAGGAAATGTCGCGTCAATTCTAGGTACTCTTCCAGCAGGCAAAGAGCTGGACGAGATTTACTATTTTTAGACTTTTCACGAATTTTTAGGTTAGGATTTTCTTTTAATTGTAAGGATAGATAATATGTTCGACTCCTTTGAAGTCAGCCTTTATGATTTTTTTAATTGTGTAACTACTGAAGCTCTGCGAATACATTACCTTACTAATGATAATAAAGAATTACTAAATATTATTAATGCAGCCAAACATCGAAGTAATGAAGTTAAAGGTCAGTTGATAAGTTTGCACTTTATCAAAATAACAGGACCATACTAAATAAATAAATGTGTAGTGTTGGTAAATATGTATGTAATTGTAAAAATTAATCAAATCTATTAAAGTTATCTTGACATTTTGTGCACTTTGGATTCTGATGGCGTGATGGTGGATTAGAATACAAGAAATACAAAAAATACATAGGCATGTAAATGCAGATTAGAATAAGGTACTTAAGGGACCTGTCCTTGTCAGGGCTTGGTCGGATCGTTGGGGAAAGTTGTGTTTTTGGTGGGAAGACGGAGCGAGCAAGTATTGACGCATCAAGGAGTACTGCCAAATTCAGTGTTTCGTTTTGGACGTCCAAAATTAATCTGGACATGGCCAATGTCTAAAAGCGTCCAAAATTGTCATGTCCAAAAGTGTCCAATGGGGCAATATGGTCTTTAATCACCAAGGAGTCACTTTGGCACATTTCTATTTTGGGCACTTATGGACAGGGTGGTTTTAACCAAGTGAAACACTGGCCTGTAAAGTTTTAATTGGCAAAATATGACTCATGCGCAGGGTTGGAAAAAACCCAGGGTTTTATTCAAAAATTTACGACCCACGGGTTTTAATGGGTTTTATTGGTTTTTTTGGGTTTTATTAAGAATTTCAATAAAAAATAGTTTTTAACTATTTGAAAATTTAAATGTTAGCATATATAATTCCTTGTTCAGTATGTATAAACCGTACGAAGTTGTTTTAGTTTTTTTTTATTTATTTTTTTACCAAGTTTGTCAAGCTTAAAGTCTACAATCGATTTTTATCGAATTTACATGAAAATTGTAATAATGAAATTAGTTTCTCATTTGCAGTATAAACACTCTTTCTAAGGTTTTCTAACTTTTAAAATTCAATTTTATGGTAAAACTTGGCAAAATTCGAATAAAACCCATTAAAACCCAAATAAAACCCAATAAAACCCAAATAAAACCCATTTAACATGGTAAAACCCATTGGGTTTTATTAATTTGTAACCCATTAAAACCCACTAAAACCCAAAAACCCAAACCCAATAAAACCCAGGGTCGGAATACCCTGCTCATGCGACCCAAACATACGAACTTTTGAAAAATACCGTCGCTGTGTAACCCAATTACGTGAAAACTACCATTTTTTTGCAAGAAGTCAAATTTTAAGTTTATGAGATGCCTTAGCTACCAGATGCTAATACAATTAGGGAGTGGTGAATAACTACACCTGCATCAGTGTTGCATATTTCCCACCTAAAAGACTTTTCCCCGTGGGGAATGGGAAAAAGTGTGAAAAATTATTCCCACCTATGGTCTGTCCAGAAATAATAGGCGGTTGGACTTTAAATTTGTGTAGCTTTTGAAATTCTGAACCGATTTTCAAAATTAAAAATGTTATGGAAACCTATGGGTATGTAGGATCCACCCCTCTGCAAACAAGTTCCCTCCGCCACCCCCACTCGTAGCCACACCCCTTCAAAACTTAAGTTGGCGTCTGGAATCTTCGTCTTATCTTACTGGGTGTCCTCGGAAGGCTTACAAGGTAGGCCAACCAGCCCCACGGGCCTTAAAATTAATTCCCCCCAGCCACACCCACCATAAACCACACCCCCAAGGTTTGGTATTTTATTTATTTTCCAATCCATTGAGTTGGGTATCATTCGAAAACTATTGATCTAATAATCTTGAAAACACTAAAACAAACCTTTTATGACACACCCACCTTCCGCCACACCCCCTTCAAAAAACTAAAAACTTAGGTTTACTAGGTACCAAGTGGGGTATCATTCAAAAGGTCTATACCGCAGCAACTCAGTGACACACAAATAAATAGTATTAACCACTCCCATGGGCTGCCACACCCCTCCGGAAGTGGAAATTATCAAGATGCTAATACCCCATCGAGTGGGGTGTCGTTTGAAAGGTAGGTGCTGCAACAACTCGGTAACGCATACATTATTACCCTTCACCGTTAAAACCTATCGCCCCACCCCCAATGGAGGTGTGGGTGCGCCCACGTTCGACAACACTGAGGTTCACCATAGGCATGTCATATGACATATCAAATTCTTCGTGGTTGGAACAGCGTTACAACGATAGATTAAGTTTCCAAAAATAACCATACCCCCTGTAAGTGTGCCATTAAAGATTAGCATTAGATTCAAGTATTTAATGCAACATATTAATTTCACTTAGGAGGAAAACGTACGATCTTTGCAATGCCCGATTTTGATGCCCCTTGGATATGTTGTTGGTGTATACATATGTAGCGAGTGATACTGCTATTTATGCACGATATTAATTATTTCATCAATTTTATCCACTTATAAATTTTGTTTGATGATGAGCAAGTGAATTTGAGACGTGAAGGATGAAATTAATTTTTTTTAATCCTGCCAATTATGTAATATGATACGTTAAAAACATAATTTCTCCAATAATTCCGTTCTTATAGTAGCAAGTTTTTCCTTAAAATATACATTTATTTTTACCCCCTTAAATTAATTTATCTTATTATATGCCCAATTACAAAATTTATTTTACAAATTTCCAACCTCTGGTAAACTTTTTTGTAAACTAAGGTAAGATTACTACTAAAATTAAATTTAGTGAGAATTCCTTCAACAGAAATTTTAAATTTGCGGCTTTCTTACACAAAATAAATTTTGGCATAATTTTATCATATGGCGACACACAGAGCCAGAAATCCTCCATGACAGCGCCATCCACATGCGTCGAGAAATTTGCAAACTTTATTCACCCCACATTCGTAATCCGGATTTTGTCCACTACACTTCGGTGCCGTACAGATACATGCAGATTCGCCGTCCGGATATGTTTCGAAGTTTGTGTTGGATAACGTCATAGCATTGACAAGGGCTGCAAGAAGCAATACCACAAAAAGTTTCAGCATCCTGAAAATATAGAAATAATGAAAGTTATAATTAATTTGTCCTAAATATGTTTGGGATAAAAAATTGCTCAACATTATTTCAGAAATTAAAAGAAATATTTAATTCAGATTGAAAATTTATATTGAAAAAAATATTTTATACTTGTAAATTAATTTGAAAAATAATACCTGAGTTCTTAATTCGCTTTCTGTGGAAAGATTTTACCAAAAAATTTTATTTAGTGTAAATTGAGATGTTAATCAGACTTCGCCAATGGTGAAAATGACATTAATTAATTGCCAAATCGTGATCGATTTTATATGCGTGTCCCAAGTTCGTTTCTAATCCAGAAATATGCGCATCTGTACAAGTGAAGATAATATTTTTTCTATATTCAGATCTTGTACATTTGTAAATGTGAAATATGTACGAGATGTGGTGCATGTTGAATAAACAATTTTATTTATGTAGCCAAACATCGAAGTAATGAAGTTAAAGGTCAGATGATAAGTTTGCACATTTGCAAAATAACAAGACCCTAGTAAATAAATTTGTAGTGTTGGTAAATATCTATGTAATTGTAAAAATTAATCAAAACTATTAAAGTTATCTTGACATTTTATGCACTTTGGATTTTGATGGCGTGATGGTGCATTAGAGAACAAGACATACAAAAAATACATAGACATCTAAATTAAGATTAGAATAAAGTAATTAAGGGACCTGTCCTATGTACATTGGGTCGAATCGCGGTTGCGTTTTTGGTGGGAGGAGGAGCAAGCTAGGATTGATGCATCAAGGAGTACTGTCAAATTTATATTTCAGCGGTAAAATCCGAAATTTGACACACATATGCCGCATCATAATATATCATTGTATCCTACTCATCTTACACAATTCGTTATAAATTCGTTACATTAATTCCAAAATGTTGAGGCAAAGAAAGATTCGTCTAAAATTGGGTACAAATCGTGAAGATTGAGTTATCTAACTTCAAATCGAATGTATGTACAGGTTTGTTGGTTGGTTAGTTTGGGCACTGTTGAACTTTCCCGCACACAAAGTCTATCTTCGCCCCGTACTTTTCAACTACTGTGCTACAAGCTTATGAGTCACTTTGCTGGTTTGACGGTCCCCGCTCCATAAGTAACATTCACAAATCACACCCACCAACAGTCAATTTTTCGGCTTTTAAATACTAGTTTATCGTAATTTAAAAGTGTAATTACTTCGCGAATCCCATCATTAAATAACTTTTGGGGTATGTAAATGAAGAATTAAGTATTAAATTTTTACGTAACGTAAAGGAATTATTGCACATTTCGTATTTTATGCAGTAACAAAATTTTGAACATTATGTTTTTTATCATTTAAATACGTAACATATCATGAATGAGATGAATAATGTTGTGCAATATTCTAAATAACTACATCCTGCGATTTTAACTTTACTACAGAATCTTAAATTTTCCATAACCTTAAAATGAGTATGTACTTATAACAAGGAAGTTCTGAACTTGCAAAATTCTAGTAGGTGCAATGTAAAATGTGAAATTGAGAAATGGCTACTTTATTCTTCGCTCAGAAATACGCTTAGAAATTAATATATAAAATTCTTAAACTTGTTATAAAATGGATATCGAAAAAAGTTGGATTGACTGCAAAATAAGCAAACTTGCAGTAAATTCATTTCCAGAGGACGGAATTAAACTTAAGTTCCCATTCCTTCATCCCATTGGCTATAATTATACGCCAGAAATCGGTTCGAAAGAGGTAAAATTTTTCCCACTTTTTGTAAAAATTAAGTAAATTTCCAATTATTTTTAGATAATCGCCTCAACAGAGCATATCCGGAACTTTCTTTGTCTCCACTTTCCCCATAGTCTGACCCCCTCGCGGATAGAAATCATTGTCGGGGCCGTAATTCCGTTTTGTGCTTGGACCTATCCACCCCAACTACCCGCCGAATATGGGCCACCTTATCGAATATATTGTCTCATTATGTGTCTCGCTCTCATACTGGATGACATCTTTGATGATCCAGATTCTCAAATTGCTACCATGGGGAGGGAAAAAGAAGACAGGAAACGACTAATCGAAATAATGAATAAATGTCTTGATCTTGAAGCAGGAACGTTTTCCGACTGTGCTGATGAAGACGAATTATTTTTGAAAACACCATTCGTCCAGCAAGTATTGTCTGCTGTCCGAACGGTATTAAAGAATGTAGAAGAGTTGTGTAAAGAAAATTTTAAGTATGCCAAAACCACCCTTTTCGCACATATTGGGGCATGGGTTCAAGCCCATGGGTGGAGCAAGGCGGACAATCTGGATAAATATAGTGAATCCTGCTATAGATCTTTTAGAATTAAGGTAACGTACCTTGTCAAACTTTAAACTACACTGTAAAGAATTCTATCACCGTCCGGTGACACTACGCGATTCTAATATGTTTTAACAACTTTGTGACAGTATGTGACTGATTAGTGACATTTTTACGTTGATTATTATATATTTGCAATCTATACGTTGTTATCTTGTGTGTTGACAGGAATTCGGTGGATTTTCCATGGTCATAGTGATAAGTGTCGTGTCAGGAATTAAACTTCCACCCTACCTGACATCCCATCCCCAAGTGAGACACTTGATGCACCTTTGCGAATCCATTTGTTGCATACAAAACGATGTCCTTGGAGTTTGGAAGGACGTCGTGGACAAAGAAGGTGCAGGTAGCATGATTTTGCACAAGGTGAAGAACGGAGTAGAAATTTGTGAAGCTATTCGGACCGAAGTGGAACATATGAGGTGATCTTTTATAGGGACTGGTTTTTTATTATTAGAATTTATGACGTTTACTACGGTTACATATATTGGTGGAATTAATTACGATGTTAACGTTAACAAATCATTGTTAGGCATCGTCAACAAAAAAAGCCAACTTATAATGATGTATACCCCAGCTATGTGAAAACCCCAATGTTTTGCAAAAAAGCAAAATATTTACTTTATAAAATTCCTTACTATAATAATTTGTCTCCTTGGTTTAGTATTGCGATAGATGACTACATCTTGGTTCGAGCATCCCTCCTCGCATCGTACGAGGGTCACACCGAGCTTGAAAGATTTGTCGATGTGATGGATAATTTCATCGTGGGACACATGTTCGCCGTCGCCTATTCGCAAAGATATTCCGCCGAGGGGGTCGTGCAGTTGACGCAGGATTGGAAACCAATCCATCAAGAGAGAACATAGTTTGTAAACTTCAAGAATTCCAGAAATAAAATAATGTGTCGAGATTATATTACAATAGGTATCAACTTTTTATCAACTTTACATATTTCATCTTAAATCATTCTCATCAAATTTTGAAGATACACTTATTTAGAAGACAATGTTGTAACGATTTGAAACGTGCGGGACCATTCCATATAATAATACCATGCCCAAAATATGTGAAAGTATTGTAACAAATTCGAATTTGTTACGCGTCGGTGTGAAAATTTATAGATGGGTGACAAATATGATTTTCGTGGAAAGTTTTATCACAATCTCCGTATAATTCGTCATATATATTTATGTAGTCCACAAGGTATCAATTATTTCAAAAACATACACCAAAACGAGATAATAATACAACAAACAAATATCCCAGGAATGATTGCTCATCATTTGTCAGGATTTGGCAACATTATGCAAAAAACAGGATGTATAAATTGAACCTACCTACGATGTATCTATATACGTATGTAAATGATAAGATAACATGAAATATTTGTTTTGCAACAGGACACGACTTATCCGTAGTGATAAGGAAGCTTAACAACGTTTCGCATATCACTCCATCTCCACCATACGACAAGCTACATCATTTTTATCGGCGTTATTATTTTTTTGCGATTCATCAATTCATAAATTTACAAATTTTTCGGCATGGAAGCCTACAAAGTTTTAAAAATTGTCCTTGTACTTTTTCAATTGGTCAAATTGGTAAGGTTTTTCGAATTTGGAGCATATAGTGTATTTTTTTTAAATGTACACATTATATATTTAATTTGTGATATTCTCTAATTTTTGCCATCACAGGTCCTTAACTCCATCGTGATATATATTTATCGCAAAGGTGACAATGGGTACTTTATGGGAGCGTCGTACAATAAAAATCATGACGCAGAAGCCTACGTTGCTGCGACATTTATTGGTTACATAACTTTTAACAAGGCCCAATTAATTGGACAAGTCTTCAACTATTTTTACAACAGGAGGAGTTTTTACAGTAGGGGGGCACTAGTAAGTTGGACTTGAATTAATGAAAAACATGGGTATTATTCAAGGAACTATAAAAGTTGCAAATTACTGAAATTTTGAAAAATTTATAGTGTTTACCACCATCTATAAACTATCGTTAGCAGTAAATGCCGTTTTTTTCAAAATCCTGGTTAAAATCCTGGTCAAGACTGGCTGGTATTAACCAATTTATGCCACTGGTTAATACCATCTGAAACTTTTTATCTTTACCGTGCCGAGTAAGAATTTCCACCAAATTTAAATTTGTTACTATCCGGTTAAACATTTACTCCGAATCGTAACAAGTTTGAACTTGGTGATATCTTTTGTCACGCATTCTGTGACAATCTATGCCAAACATAGTTACCACCGCACGGTAAAAAATACAACTAACTTCGTTTTTTCATATCGCCAATATTTTACTTTATGATGTTTAATTTAACTTGGAATTGGTAATTAATTTAAATTATGTTTTATGTAGGAAACAGTGATGCTCGTATACGGGATAATTGCCTTTCTTTTCAGTGGCGTCATCATTTTGCACTTTTGGCTAAAATTTATACCAGCAAACCATTTCACTGAAAATGATCCTGCCTGCGTTGGGATATGGATGGGGAGTCTGAGCATCGTCCTTGCTGTGATGTATCTCGTGGAGATTGTGGTTTCTCAATTTATGAATTCCATGAGTCAAAGTGGAGATAACCGGGGTGGTGGCATTGATACGGTTGATAAGGGAAGGGTGGTACAATATCATGGTGTTCCGGCTAACGAGGTGAGAATGAGTTAGTAGCTAGGAAAGTAAATCTGTGGGACAATTATTTAATTATAAAATTTCAAAGAATAAGAAATTTAAGTTAAGAAATTCAGAAATATATATTTATTCGGTGTGACATGTAGGGTTGTACCGCTGTCCGCTCCAAGCTCCCTGGGAATTTAGGGATTTTTGAAACTCCCTAAACTCCCAAAACTCACGGAGTTTATATTTATTCCCCCATAAGCCCAATGTTAAAAATAAACTCCCTAAAACTCTGGGAAACTATTATCACTCCCAGGGAATCGTACAACCCTAATGACATTTATTTAGCATAATTTGATAAGGTATTGATAAAAATTTAAAGTTAACACTTTTGATAATAGTATGATTAGGGATTATGTATATATTTCTAAGAAACTTACACAGTCAACAAAACGTGAATAATTTTCTAATTAAAGATTCGCACTGGATGAAATATATATTGGATTGGGGAAAAAATATACTTTTGAAACCGTTGTCAAGTTTTGTTTAATAAATTTACGAATATAAAAATACAAGGAATCATTTATCTTTATTCTGCTGTAATAAATTGAGTTTGATTTACTAAATAATCGATTAATTCGCGATTTATGAACACCCGTGGGCATATTAAATTTTATTGATTTCACTAAACCATCCATACAACGACCATTTATCCATACAAGGCCGTGTAAATATCACAGTTTTTGTGATATTGTTTGATTTTTGTGATTATCATAACTTACGATTTTAATTGTGATTTTGATAGTCCCCATCTAGCGCGGTATATGATAGCTTTGTAACATGGCTAGATGGAGACTATTAAAATCACAATATATCACACAAATCACACTGTTACATGATTAAATATTATTAGAAATTTATCCGACATCCGATTCTGAAACTATTTCCAAATCCATTCTCTTATCGTAGCACAGAGTTAAGAAACTTTCCACTTTTTGTTCAGATTATCCCAGTCTTCAAAAATGGAGATCATTATCGGCAACATGATTAGTGCTACGGCTGCCAGGGCTACCGCAAACGTTGGGAAGATGAGAAATAACGGGAGTGGAATTATGTGATACATTTTTAGTGCCACAAAAATAAACAAGACGCACAAAATGAAACCGTAAAACATGAAAATTGCGACACATTAGGACGAAAAGTTTTCCGTTATGGCCAAATTAATTTCACAGGGGGAATAATAATAAAATTTAATGAAAGTTAAGGATCGATTAAATTCTTTGAAAATAATAGTTATTTCTTGTACCACCTCTGAACTTAGAGTGGGTTTGGTTTCTGTAGAATAAAAAATTAGTTAGCTACGCGATTTGCTTATTACAGGGTAAGAAGTAAAAATTTTTAAGACTTTTTGCTAAATAAAAAACTGGAATTATTATCTCTTGCATAATTGAGTATTTGTGCGGAAGAGTTATATACATATCGTCGAACTAATTCTAAAGCGAGCTACATAAGTATGTGCATTCATTGTAATGAGGTATAGTCAGGAAAAATATTATTTTTTAGGAATAGGTCTCACTAATATTAGAATTCCTTAGCATTAATTAATATTAAACATTTTAGATATTTTGTTTGGCAATATAAGTAGTTTTAAATTTTAGCTTATAAATTTGAGATAAGAAAATTATTCCTTGCTAAAAGAAAGAATTAATCCTTGCTAGGTTTAGCAAAATCCTATTGAATATTTAATTATTTTCTAGTTGGAATCAGTAAAATGGTCGTTAAGTTGATCCATGTGAAAGATAATTGTATTTACTTAATTATATTTTATGTATTTAGCAATATGTTTACAGAAAATTAAAGGAGTGGAGACAATAGCTCGTGGAAATTTCTCTATTCATCTGCAATTAGGAAACGTAAGAGATTTTGTGAATATGTGATTGGAAAGCAAATTTGGACACAAATTTGGAAAACATGAATACCAATCGTACAATAATTAATGTATAAATATCGACTTGCTTTTCCATGTTATTCAGAGAACCCTAGCAAACTTGATACAATCAAGGAGTAGATAAATTTCGATTGGTGCATTATTTGCAAAAAAAACATTACTTACTTACAATGCGAAGAAATTACGTGTGACTCTTGAAGCTTAACCGGATTAATATTAATTTGATCACACCGTTATATAAGCTAACCGCATTTTTAAGGGTTTTGCGGGAGTTTTAAATTTTTTAAAAGCAATAAAATTAGTCCCGATTAAATCTGAGTGTTACACATTCGCATTACTAGTAATTGTGTTAGATTCCTATTATTACTCACCGTTCCAAAACTCATATCTGGAACAACTCTCGAAAATTTCACATAGCAATTTGTACATCCCTCGTGTCGAACGACATTAACGCCGTAATCGTATAGCTTAACAATGCCTCCCCATACGTCGTCATGGTTGATCTTTGACACATAAAGAAGTTATATTGCGCCAATCCTGCGTAAATTCGGAGACAACGTTTCCCCATGATTTGTCTCTTAACGTGTCTCTTATCGTAGCACAGGGTTAAGAAACGTTTCCATTTGTTCCTGAGATTTTTCGACTCCTTAAAAATAGAGATCATTACCGGCAACATGATTAACGTCACGGCTGCCAGGGAAACTGCGAATGTTGGAAAGACGAGGAATAACGGGAGTGGGATTACGTGATACATTTTTAGTGACACAAAAATAAACAGGACGCACAAAACGAAACCGTAAAACATGAAAATTGCGACACATTGGGACGAAAAGTTTTCCGTCATGGCCAAAATTATTTGACAGGAGGAGTACTTAAAAAAATACTGGGTTATTTTTGATCGTCCAGTAATCACAAGTGTTCTGGAGTTTTTAGACAGCGAGGAAATGCAGCTTGTCATGAGATATGCGGCCAAGGTAGGGGCACAAATTAAAAATGACATGACTCGAGCCATTAGACAGCATTGGAAAATTAGAGTGTACTTCAACGGAATGAAGATGTATTGCGTGAAGGGAAGCCATGTCGGGGGTATTAGGGTATTAGGGTTTCGAATAAGCTGAAGGGATCCAGTTTTAAGTAAATGCCGCAAATGGGGACGATAACGGCGTAGATGGAGAAAGTATAGGTGATGACGTTTAGAGCGATGCCGACGATATCCTTGGAAATTTTGGATTTTGAAGCAATGCTGGAAATATCTGTAGAAAATAGGTAAATTTTGAAATGTTTAGTTAATCTTCGAAGTTTGCATAAACTTCGAATCTTGTAGAATCGTCGAAGTTTGCAAAACGTAACCACAAGAACATCATTCGACTTACGTATTTGTTTTTCTAGCACAACAATTAAGTTAAAAGCCACTGCAGCATTTTCTGCACACGATTTCGTCACAAGTTCCAACAGTTCGACAAGCCCGTCAGCAGACCCGACCAGCACGATGATCATCATTGTTGGGAATTTTATCTCTGCAAAACCATAAATCTTGGCCAGTGGTAGAATCAGAAGAACAAGAATGGCAACAAATAACCAAAACATTAGTATCTTCCAGAAAAATAAGTCTTTCGAATTTGTTCGAGAAACCATTTTTTGTTTGGAAACGTTCCACTCTAGTGGAAATGGAGGCATGTAGGCAAACAATTTCGAAAAATTGTCAAGTGATCGCCACATTAGTGGGGTGACCGTCATTATCAAAAATATTAAGGGTGGGGACGTTTCGTTTATTTTTTGTTAGGAAATTTCGGACGATAAATTACTCGACAAGTAAAGTTATTTTCGGATTAAAGTCTGAAACTTGAATGAATTTGGTTTTTGTCATGAAAAGGATAATTTGTCTACGTGCCCGACCCAGTGTTGCAAGTGGTTTAAACCACTTTTTACCGGACACTTGGGAAAAGTGTGGTAAAGACATTTGTTAACACCCACCAAAATCAATCAGAAATGGGAAGAAGTGGGAAAAATGTTAGTTCTTATGCGACATACGCTGGGTGGCGGAAATTTTTTTCTAATTTTTCCCATTTCCCACCGGGAAAAAGTCTTTCAGGTGGGAAATATGCAACACTGGCCCAATCCCTCAAAAAGTTTTGCGGAGTTGGGCTAAATCAAAATTTAGAATCATTACACAATGCATAATTGAGTATTTGTGCGGAAGAGTTATGTATGGACATATATGCGTAGTTATTTGCTTGAAATTAAATTCTAAAAAATTTATAAAAAAGAGTAAATTAGATAATGGACTTCCTCTTATTCAACGAGTCTAGAAGACATTTCTTATCTTCTGGTTTCATTATTTGAAGTTACATTTAATTGGTTTTGTGCCATATGTAGGTAACTGTAATGGCTTTTTATACAATTTGTCACAATGATTTGGACTGATATAAATTTTAAATTTAGCAAACATTTGAGACGCGAAAGGATTGCTAAGTAATTAAAAAAGTATTAATTTCGATAAGTACTGTATTATCTTATCGAATATTTATTCATTGAAGTTAATCTCGTCCTTAATTAGATTCATATGTCAGATAAGTATAAATATTTACATATTGATTTAAAATTTTTGAAATGGTATTGTTCGGAATATTAAAAGATTTCGAAATTCTAGGGTACATTTAAAAGTTGGAAATGTTTATAGAAGTAAATACACCATTTTCTTCACAATATTGCGCAAACATGCCGTTCAATACCGATAAATTAATTAATCTAATAAATAATTAAGAGTGTAAATATTTAACTCTGTCCGATCGTCTCAAGATTTTTTCCTGTTATTTACATAGAGGCAACAATCTTACCACCAAAATTAAAATATCAATTAGAACAGTATATTAAAAGGGTTTCTAAATGTTTAGTAACATTTTTTTAATAGGGCTCAAAATGTACGAGGAAACACATCAAATTTTTTCCCCAATATTGTGTAAATGTGCCCTTCAATACAAATGATTAATTAACCAAATTCTTAAATAATTAAAAGTGTGCATAATTCCAGCCGATGGTTTCAAGAAAGTTGCATAATTCCTTCGCAATTAGGGGAGACACAATTAATTACACCGAGGCAACAATCTTAACACCAAGTTGGCCATGGCACGTGGTCCTAGCACACTTTGTAAGGCGTCCATCCCCTCAATATTGTCCAGCAGGGTGGATCTATTAACCAGGAGGAAGTTAAAAGCTCCGTTTTCTAACTCCTACATAAAGAAATTTTCAATAAAATGATCCTCTTAGTTATTATTATGTAACAATAATTACCGTAGCGTTGGCCAGATACGCGTTTTCAAAGAGAAAGAAGGCATTTTCAGAATTAATATTTTGCATCAAAATTAATTCACACTCTTTCCGTAGTACAGTCTCACAATAGCAGTCAGCCAACTTGAGTAGACCTAAAATATCAGAAAATGTAATATATTCAGGGTTTCGCTTGGTTAAAACTACCCTGGACAGGACATTGTCCAAAAGTGGTTTTGGACACGAATACTGAGGCGTCCAAAATGTCCCAAAAGTGTCCCAAATAGGAATTGGGCAAAGTGACTCCATGGTGGCACATTGCCCCATTGGACACTTTTGGACACTAGCCATGCCCAAAATAGATTTGGACGTGCAAAACTAAACACTGAATATATTGAGCAAAAATAATAATTTTAAACAGTATTTTCCCCAAACCTAAAATATTATCGTACTGATCGACCGAGAAATACACTCTGGCATGGTAAATGTAGTACAGGAAGGCTTCAAACACGCAGAATTTGACATCCGGAATATCAATATACCTAGTGGATGAAATTAAATATGAAATTACTCTCTCTTCAGGTTCAGTTGGACCTGGAAAGATGGGAGACTAAATATAGGTTAACGTTAATTATCATGGAGCGGGATTTAGTCTCTCCGGGTTCAACGGAACGTGCACAGAAAGTAGATACAGACCTATTTAGATTTGTTTTGGATTAAAACGAGATAATTAACCAATAAATTCACAATTTCAACATAAAAATTTGATTTCTTTACAAGAGTAAAGCAAATCTTTGCCAATAATTTGATCTCGTTTTGATCCCCAGAAATAAATTTATAACCTAATTACAAAAATAATTACTGCAAAATAAATCAAATTACTCACGAATCTCTACTCTCTTTCCACTCGTTGTCAAACATCTTGGCGAAGTAGATACTCCTGCATTTTAGAATGACCCGATGTGCCTTAATCTTTCTACCCTGGATGGAAAACGTGACATCGGTGTCATCCTGAAGGTCAAAATAAATAAAAAATTAGAAGAATGACACCCTCTAATTATTTCACGTCCCGTATTTCTCACCGAGTTCCAAAGGCCGGCAATATCTTCACATAAAGTTCGTTGCGCCGTGTCACACCCAAATTTAATTTGTGGATTAAAAGACCGATACGATTTTTGGTAAAGAATTGCAAAAATCTCGTCGATTCCATTGTTCAAAAATATATGGGAAATTGATTCATCTTCCGCAACGTTTTTTGCAACTAGATTCTCCTCCATTAAATGGAATACGCAAGTTTCTTCGGTAAAATGTGTCGTGATGTCTCGAACGTTGCTAAATTTTGGGATATCACACCATAGATAGGCTGCAGGTGAGACGAAATGAACCGATCCTTGGACCGTCAATCCAAGAATGTTGGTCTTGCTCGCCGTGATCTATAAATTGATTAAGTTTTCTGTTAAGCGGTCATTCGACTCATGGGCGCAGCCACAGGATAAAAATTCGAAATTCATATATGACCCATGTTAAACTAGCTCCTCCCCTTTATATCACACCATGTTATAGCCCACCCCTGCCCACCCTCGTGGCTGCGCCTATGATTCGACTGTGATAATGTTATTTTTTTAGTTTAACGTGCAATGTAGTTTTTGTGATTTAATAATCGCCATCTAGTGGTGGACATGGTAACCAAGTATGTACCTATATAATATCTAGATGTCTACTATTAGAATCACGTAAATTAATCACGTAAATAAATTACAGTTGGAAGTATGAACAAATATAAATGCGATCAATTAATCTTATTTTTTTAATGAATTTTTTAAAATTCGCATCTCGATAACTAATTTCAATTTAAGTTTGTCAGTTATTTGGAAATGAACTTGATAATTTGACCAAAAATCAATTTGATGACTATAATTTTTGCGCCAATATTTACAAACCTTCTTAAACGGTGGTAGATTTGGTGCCTCGAGTTTTTTCGGTTTTCCCGGACTTCTCTTTGTCACCCAGTAAAAGACCTTTTTATAAAAAAATGGTTGACGCTATAAAATTATTTTTTACTAACAATGCGAGGCCGCGAAGTGTTTACTTCAGATCTTGATGGGACTAATTTTATTTTGTTCACCTCAAAAAATAAGCCGACCCATAATTTTGAATTTTCGATAATGCTCAAATTTGAGCGCGTGACGCGAATTTCAAACTTTTTTTCAGCCAAAATCCTGGATTTTAAAATCTTCAGAACTTTTTAGTTTTGGCGCGAATTAAAAAATCCAAAAATATGTATGTTCAGAATTACTTCCTTAAACTTGAAAAAATACTAGTTTTCGAAATTTCGAAAATTCTGAAATTTTCTGAGTTTTGCAATTTTTCGAAAATCATACCCTACACAAAAAGTCGAATTTTCAAAATTTCGAAAACTAGTATTTTTTCAAGTTTAAGGAAGAAATTCTGAACATAAATATTTTTGGATTTTTTAATTCGCGCCAAAACTGAAAAGTTCTGAAGATTTTAAGATCCAGGATTTTGGCTGAAAAAAAGTTTGAAATTCCCGCAACGCGCTCAAATTTGAGCATTATCGAAAACGCAAAATTATGGGTCGGCTTATTTTTTGAGGCGAACAAAATAAAATTACTCCCACAAGATCGGAAGTAAACATTTCGCGGCCTCGCATTGTAAGTTGTTCCTAACGCGATAATCACACTTTGTGATTTAATTGTGATTTATGATGTAAGTGAAATATGTGCTGTGATTTTCGTGATTTTATTAATCGCCATCTACATAGCACCGTATACGTATTTACTATCTGCTAGATTGCGGGTGCTGAAATATCATGAAATCACACCGTGATGCGATTTACATCAGAGTGACGGGATTTCACAAAAACTAATTTTAAAACCGATTTTCGCCCCATGGCGATTTTTAAAATCACAATAAATCACACCATGGTTTTATTTCGACCCCTCCAATGAAATTTCGCTAACATAGCAAGACTCTCTTACCTCTCCATTTTCCATGAGAGCCAAACTAATCCAATAACTGCACACGAGAGACTTGATTCTCCCCATCGTGGCGTCCACCTGGATTAGGAAGGGTTCCACCAGCCCAAAACCCCACTGGTGAACGTGGCCATCGTCCGTTAACACCAACGCGATTACTGACCCCGGTGAGAGCACGGCGCTTGTTACGAATCTCCCACTCAGACTCCCCATCTTCTGTTGGGGACGGTAAATTGGTTCCGGTGAGTAATGTGACCACGCATATAATTCGCCATTTTTCGTCACCATCATCATAAAATTAGTTTCGACAATGAACTCTGAAATAGTGGTAAGGAAGGAGTGCTAAAAAATTGGCACTATTTTTGCACAATAAAACCCGCATTTGCTTACCTTTCCCCTCTTTACCGCAAAGTTCCGGCACCTTGACAACGTTCGGGGGGACGAGGTCGTTCCGCCGAGTTGCGAGATACACGTCGTCCTCGTGAGTTATGAGAATGGCGATATTCCCGTGAACATGGGCGAGTCTTGCGGAACGTAAGAGGGAGACGTTATCATTGGAAAAATCGCGAAATATGTCCCATATTTGCAACTGAGACTCCATGATGATTGTTTTTCGTTGAGAATTGTTACGATACTAGTTTTACGCAAGAGGTTAAAATTATGACTGGACATTGTAGTAATGGACTGAAGGGGGTGACTGGACAGTGCGGAATTTACGGAATGGTCCCTTTTTCTGCTATAAATAAGTAAGTATTCCATGAATTTGGGTCCAATCGTTGGATACAAATAGAAAGTGCCTTCTTTAAGGGATCTTTTTTCCACGCTTGCTGGGTCACTTCCCTTGGCTTTTTTATATTTTAAAGTTGTGATATTATTACACTGCGTGTGTTTAACCTTGTTTTGTATGACAAAGTTGCTCTACCTAATATTTATACGTATAAGCATGATACATAAATATGTATGAAGATATAGGCACATCCACGAGGGTGGGCAGAGGTGGGCTATAACATGTGATATAAAGGGGAGGAGCTAGTTTAACATGGGTCATATAGGAAGTTTCGAAATTTTAGGGTGGGCATTGTCCACCCTGTGGCTGCGCCCAAGCAAGATGAAGATTATGGTTATAATAGATTCCCGGAGTTTTGACAATATTCCCAGGGAATGTACTCGCACAGAGTTTATTTTTAACCTTGGGGTTTAGAGCATTTTCCCACTTTTTCAAATTTCCGACTGATTTTGGTGGGTGGGGAAAACCTATTTTTCCCACTGTTCAGTAAGAATAGTTTATACCGGCACGAATAAAGTATGCATTTAAAACACCGGAACAAATCATCCATATGAAAAACAAGCTGTACATGTAATTCCAATTTTTTAAACATAAATAATACCTTCCTGACATTTCTTCCACTTAGAAATGCGTTCATGCATTTTTTAAAAATTTGTTTCCTAAAATTTTACCAAGTTCTCCTTTTATTCGTTATTTATCACCGTCGTGTTTATGACAGCAATATAAAGGAAGAATAAGTTTTGGTCAATTATAAATTATCTATCCCATAGGCACAAGGGTGGGCAGAGGTGAGCTATAACATGGTGTGATAGAAAGGGGAGGAGCTAGTTTTAGAGCCATATAGGAAGTTTCGAAATTTTAGGATGGGCATTATCCACCCTGTGGCTGCCCCTATGATCTATCAATTATGAGACCTAGGGTATAAATTACATACAAATTTACATATTATTGAAAAATACTTATTCTTCTTCACACATAATCCTCCACCTTAACACGACGGCTTGGAAAAATAAATAAATTGTCCAAGATAGAAAATTTACCCTTATGCTTAGAAAATGTAGGTTTTAGTAGGTGCAAAAATGGTGCACAGGAGTGGGGTAAATAACCCTTTCAAATTATCACTCTTGCCCACCCTGACTATTAATTCTTAACTATAAGTCCATACTTTTAGAAAGTATGCCACCAAATGCAAGGGCCCCTTCTATTGGACACCCTTCCCCAATCAGACCCTTGCTTCCATCCCAGTCCTTCTCGAAAGTTCTCTAATCTATTCCTGACACCAAGCCGGTTAAATAAGTCACCATTTTATCCTTGCCACTTAACTGGAACAGATCAAGTTAAAGTTAAAGTACTTCAAAAATTTAAAAGTGTTTTTAAAAAATTTGCCAGCTAATTTTGATTTTGCAAAAATCATGCACCGCCAATTCGGCTGGCTAGATGGGGACGAACTAAGGGAGGCTGCAATTCAACGATACGAAGCTCAGTACAGGACAACCGCCGCGGTCAGAAGGGAGGACGGCAGGGTCAAGAAAGTGGCAGAGTTGGAGGATAAAGCGAAACGGTTGGGGGTTCGGGATGGAAATGCGGTTGGATCTGCAGAAATTCCGCAAAATTCTGGGGCTGAAATTAATAGTGAGTAAATTTACTGGAATGAATTTTGCATAATAATTTAGGCAAGTGGGGGGAAATGTGTCCCCCCAGTTAACCAAGTTCCCCACATGTATTAATGTTAAGATCCTTATGTATGACCGCGGTCAATGGTTTTTGAAAACCTGATAACTAGAATTTGCGGTAAACGGCGTAAAGTTCGTAAATCGAGCTGAATTTATGAATTTTACGATGGTGATGTGAATACCTCCATTATAATTGTGCAGGTGGCGCTAGTAGTTCTCGAGAGAGTTGGGTGGCTAGATTGCAGGAACAGTATAATGACGCCGGTACTTCGGAGCCTGTTGAAACAGTAGCAGAGGTAAGTAATGGGTGAAATTAATTAATTACTTAATTAATTAATTAATTCTATTCAAATGTAATTAGGCAAATTCACCTGCTACTACTGGTGTGAAAAAACAGGAGAATATTTCCGCAAAAATAATGAGAGCAAACTCGGTCAAGGTAAAATTCAATTTAATTCAAACCTTTAGTAATTATTAATTATCCAAGTAAATTACAAATTAATTACCAATTAATTTCCTACTTTAGGCAAAATTCGAGATGCATCTTCGTCTCCAGATTATCAAAATGACTGAGAGAAAGGTTGAAAAATCCAAACGACAACGGATATTGAGAGTTTGCGGGATAATTTGCAAGAATTGGTCAAGCTAAGTGCGACGATTGTGAATAAGTGGGGAAATAATGGTCCTAGTTATTCTACTATGGTAAGCAAAATATATATGTGTCGTGTATTAAAACGAGGTCATTTTTTTGAGAAACTGGGCGTGATTTTAATAGTCGTCATCTTACATAATTAACACATACCCGGCTAGATGGCGACTATTAAAATAACAAAAATCAGATTGCGCACTAAAATCACAAAGTGCATAATCACAAAAATCACACCACTGTGATTATCAAAGTCGGAACACTGGTTAATTATCACTAATAACTTGTTAAAATCAGTGTTGGCCAAAACAGCAAAAAAACATGCATCGATGTAATGCTAAATTGATTTTTGCATGTTTTTTTTACTGTTTTTCTGTTTTAACAGTCGCCCTCTTACGGCATACCATACAACTACCAATGTTTTAAGCTTCAATAAAACAAAACAGCAAAAAACATGCTATTTTGATAAACAAATAAGCTGCTTATTTAAGCAAACAAGCATTTTTTCAAAAAATTGCATTATAGAATTTTTCGTTCGGCGAACACTGGTTAAAATTTTATTTTATTTTTATTTATTTTTTCCACTACTTCCAGCTTACCATGCTGCAAAATCCACAAGATATCTCGCGTGAAACCGACCTTATCGAAAGAATCACCAAGTTGATAAAATACCATGAAACTGCGATACACGCTTTGGAATCGATTATACGAGATGGCCCAATTTTTCTGGAATGGATGCGCAACGCGGCAGAAACATTCCGAACTTTGGAACATCTTGTCCCCAGAACGCTGGATGAATGGAACAATGCTAAGGAGAAGTATAAGAGCTTTGTCAAATTCGGGAAACAGTTGGAGACCCTGAGTGGTCAAAGTGCACAGAGTAATAATAAATATGGGCGTATAATTTGCAACGTGCAGAAGGAATGGAATAGTTTGAAGGAGTTGAGGAGATCGTATTTAGCTCCGGATAGGAAAGTAAGTTTTTCATGAAAACATTGTAATTAAGTGTGTGTGGGGTTTAGCAAAGCTTGTAAAAAATTAGGAAGCTTGAGTAAAAGTTTGACAAGCTTGAGTGAAATCTTATTAAGCTCAAATAAAATCCTAATAGGAAGATTTTTGACGAGCGTTCGTAAAATTTTGACAAGCTTGACTCGATTTTAGAAAGCCTTACCAATATTTTTACAAGCTTAAGAAACATTTTAATAAGCTTGAGTAAAACTTTAACAAGGTTAAGTAAAATCTTAGTAAGTCTGAAAATCATTTTTAAAAATTTAAGTAAAACTTTAACAAGCTCTGCTAAAATTCTAGCAAGCTCGAGTAAAATTTTAATAAGCTTTAGTAGAATTTAAACAAGCCGGAGTAAAATTTTAGCAAAATTTGGTGAAATTTTAACAAAATGAAGTAAAAGTCTAACAAGTTTTTGTAAAAATTTAGTATTGAACTCATACAATTTTTATTATTTGGTATTTTGCAGGTTTTGTGCCCAGTATGTGTCGGGCAAGATGTCGACTTCGTGCTATCGTGTGGACATCCCTTTTGCGGCAGCTGTATCCAGAAGATGAATACTTGTGCGTCGTGCCGTGAACCAATTAATGCGATGACGAAAATATACTGGCAAATGTGAATAAGGTTGGGTGCTATACATAATTGAATATTTGAGCAAACTAAATTTAACGAAGTTATAATAATTTAATGGTGTAAATCAATTAATAAATTTGAATAGTTGAACAATTGTCAATACATAAAATCAATCTGGAATAAAAATACATTAAATATTAAATAAATAAATAAATAAATTTGTACATTTATTATAATGATGTACTTTATTTAGGCTGATAAAGATATAGATCAACATACATGTATATTTTGTAAATAATTAGATAATACATTTACTATCTTGTAGGCAGTGTTACGACTGTGATAATCACAGTTCTGCGATTTCATTGGATTATTGTGATCATCACAATTTATGATTGTAATGTGTAGTGTGATTTTTATGATTTTAATAGTCTCCATCTAGCAGCGTAACGGCTGCTGTTAACTACGTAGTATCACTACATATCGACTATAAAAATTTCATTTTAGGATTACTGCTGAAAAATAGGAAAGCATGATCACCATAGTGACAAATAATAAATATAGTGCTGGATTACACATTTCACATAACTAAACCATTACAATTCGGTTAGGCGGTAATCATGTTTAGCTAAGGGATATGAATTTGGGGGACAAATTGGCAAGACGAGGTTCGATTTAAATTATATTTAATGGTGGCGATCAGTAGATTTTCACTTAGGTTTTCTAAAATTTCTATTTCATCATCCTCACAGGTTAAGTTATCGCCTAAGAAGAAGTAACGAAGTTGTCTGTCGAACACAAAATTCCTGCACCACCAGTGGTGTCAAAGCCTCTACGAAATTCGACCCATACTGAATTCTCACCGAGACCAGAGATTTCATCTTCCTTGTGAAAATTTTACTTTTACAAAGCCTTCCTCGACATTTGATCCAATTCAAACTAAGACGATTAATTTGTCCCGCTACGCAGAAATTGAGTAGTGTCATTATCAAAATGACCACGTATATCAACCCACATCCAACCAGGATTGAAATATTTTTGGAATTTGCAACTTCTATGAGTGCAAAGCCTGCCAAAACCTGAAATAATGGACCGAGAAAGGCCAACGTTAAGAAAATCCGGTCACGAATGCAGGAATTGAGAGTTTTCTCAAATATCTGAATCCTTCTATAAGCAATGATCTGATTTTGGATGGTGGCGCAACTTGCCGTCAAAATTTTGCAGTCCAACCACAATCGAGATGTTGTCATGCCGAGAAAGATGATTACGTAGTAAGCCCCAGGAAAGGGATTCAGTATGACACTGAAATGATCTTGAGATGATCTCAAGATCAAAGGTCGATTCAGTAAAATATTCTAAGACAAATCTTAGATAAAATCTAGACAAAAGTCGATCTTAGACCACCGTTACTGAATTACCCTATTCACGAGTCTCAAATCAAGCAAAATCTGAGATGGATTTCCAAGCTACTCCGCGAGTAGCTTTGGATCAGTCTTACCATGATATTTGGCGCTGGTGGTTGAGTGGAAAAATCAGCAGCAGGCTGCGTGTATTTTTTTCTTTCTTTAAATAGTTAATTTAATTTACAAAAATAAAAATAAATGTGTAAAATTTTGTATTCCCTTTCGTACACCAATCTGTCAGTGCCTTAATGGTCAGCGCAATTGGGGAATGGCTGTTCCTTTGTGGTTTCTAAACGAAAGAAGAAGAGTGCCAAAACAACGTAAACTTTTAGAACAGCTAAGTGATTACGAAATTCGAAAAAATTTTGGTCTCCCTTGGTGGGGTGCAAGTGCTATTTGTGACTTTTTTGAACCACTCGAGGGACAGAGAATAACTTCAATTCCACTTGAAACAAAAACATTAGTTTTTTTAAGTTATTTGAGGTCGGGGAATTTTCAATATTCTTTGGGTACATTAAGTGGTGTGTCACAGTCAAGTGTTTCGAGAATTATTGACAGTTTTTCCCATTTCACAATTGGCCAAGCTCGAGAAACAATTAATTTTTCATCAAATATTGAAGAAAGAGTGTTAAACAAGATCGCGTTCTACAATCTGTCTAGGCAAAAACTTAGAGGAATATTAGGTGTAGTGGATGGAACCCACGTTAATATTATAGCACCAACTGTGGACGAATTTGCGTATGTTAATTTTGTTAAAAGGTGTGGTTGTGTAGTTGTGTTGTGTAGGTGTGGTTGTGTAGATGTGGTTGTGTAGTTGTGTTGTGTAGGTGTGGTTGTGTAGTGTAGGTGTGGTTGTGTAGATGTGGTTGTGTAGTTGTGTTGTGTAGGTGTGGTTGTGTAGTTGTGTTGTGTAGGTGTGGTTGTGTAGGTGTGGTTGTGTAGGTGTGGTTGTGTAGTTGTGTTGTGTAGGTGTGGTTGTGTTGTGTAGGTGTGGTTGTGTAGATGTGGTTGTGTAGTTGTGTTGTGTAGGTGTGGTTGTGTAGTTGTGTTGTGTAGTTGTGTTGTGTAGGTGTGGTTGTGTAGTTGTGTTGTTTAGGTGTGGTTGTGTTGTGTAGGTGTGGTTGTGTTGTGTAGGTGTGGTTGTGTTGTGTAGGTGTGGTTGTGTAGATGTGGTTGTGTAGTTGTGTTGTGTAGTTGTGTTGTGTAGGTGTGGTTGAGTTGTGTAGGTGTGGTGTAATTTAATATTTTTGTGGAATGGGAAAATTTTAATAACTTACTTGAATGTGTAAGGAACAAGTTCCGCAGTATAATTATTACGTGATAAGTTTGGTCTGGTTAAACTTTCTTTCTCAGATAAATGTTAACCTATAGGAAAAAACTGTCACGTTTTAAAATATTCCATTAAATTAAATACAATATTTTTATCATCCTCACCTTTGACCTTTTTCATTCGTCGTGTGACGAAACTTTTACAATTTGTTGTCTTGATCGCCGCAATCACGTCATATCCTTAATAAATTGATCTTCTTCCTACGTCGTCACTACCACCAACTTTTGCAACGCCACACCAGACCAAACGGCTGCTCCCCTTAAACTTCAATGATGACGGAGTTGTTCCCTGAAATAATGAGGAAACAATATTTAAACTTTAGTCACTCCATTTACTATTTACACTAGCTATTTATCATGTTTCCTACTAACTAGACAAAAAAAGAAAAGCAATAAATAACGATTTAATTAATTAACGCGTGACAATCTAAACTTTAATTAAACAATATATTTTATGCATTAAAATGTTCACCTCGCACTTACACTTCCTTGCAGATGTTAGGTAGTTGAAAGAGGTCAAAGGGTAAGCTCTCCTCCTCCTCTAGTTTTTGTAAAATTTGTTAAAAAATGCAACCAGAACGTCTTTCCTTGGGGGTTATCTATAGCCAAAATCCAAATAACTCTTATTCAACAGGATAAAATAAACTATTATTCTGATGGTGGGTTGGGGGTGTTCTTACCAAAAAAACAACCGTTCACAACAATTTGGCGAGAATTGTCCAAGATGGAGTCATGCAATGTGGGAGATGGTTATGAATGAACTGCGTGGTTTATGAGAACATTTCAAATTTCCCTCACCTCCATCGCAGGGTTTATTCTCCATAGAGAGGAAAATTGTCTTGAGACATGCTTAGATCTGAGATGATCTAAGCAAATCTCAAGACAAAGATCAAAATCTTGTGAATTTGATCTAAGATCTGACCTTAGATAATCTTGCGCTAAGGTCAGAAATTGTCTCAGAGATACTGAATCTGCTTCCAGAAGCACAGGCTACTTGCCATTGAACAAATTCTAAAATGGCGAAACATATCTTGAGTAAAGGGCCGTGTGTCTATGTCAATATGGATCCAAGACTTCCGGTTGGGTTGGTATTGCACAGTAGGGAGGTTAGGAGGCATGGAAAACAGGGAGTAATTGTTGTCAACGATGCCAACGAGAGACACATGATCCACCCTGTTTTGTAAATTAGAATGAACAAGTAAGACAAGCAGGTGGAGATGATGATTTCACGACGAGTGGTAGGTTGTGATGAAAGTCCTAATTAATAGAGTACAAGGTCAATATAAGCTTGGTAAAATTTTGGTACCATTCCAACACAATTTCTGTACCATTTCAATACAACTTCAGTACCATATCATTTTAATTTCTGTACCATTTCAATGCAATTTCAGTACCA